TAAGCCATGTAAGATAAGTTGCATACCTACGTTATACAAATCAATTTTTTTTTTTTTTTTATAACTAGATCATATTTTCAGTCGATTATCATTACAAAAAATGTAGCTCTAAGTGTTTTTTATGATTATTATTATTATTATATTTTTTCAAGGCTAAATACGATAAGGAAGAATCTTAGTAGTTTCAATGTGTGCCATTTTTTTTCATATGTGTCGAGCGTCTAGGAATATAAATTATGGAGACTTTTATATTGACTTTGCATAATTTTAAGTGATAGTCGCGTCTTGAATCAATGTAGTGTAACATTGTTTTATTTACGTCGATCATTATTGGAATTGTAAGAAAATACGTTGGAGTCTGCGATGAACAATGGAGATGAAACTGCGATAAATATATTTATTTATAACTATAGTTCAAATGTTGTTTCTGTTTGTGGTAAAAGACAATAAAAGTATGTTTGTCTGTCGTCTCTGTGAGTGCCAAACTTATTTGAAAACAGATCAGTCATGTTATTTAATTTGATATATTTGGTCAACAGCAACTGAAATTTTGCATAAAAGCTAACATTTCATAAGTATATAAGTATCAATATTAAAAAAAAAAAAACTCTTTTATGCGTTGAAAATAATTTTAAAACTCAGAGAACAAAAAAAGTGTGATGTAATTGTTATGTGTAACCATATTTTGTAATTATTGTATTTATTTGAAATCAAAAATAGCTTTTTTATTGTGATAAACATAAGAAATATCTGGTCGCATCTATAGGGTGTAATCCGCAATCGCCACCAGCAGTTATGTGAGACGTGACAACGTTGCTTGATTGGGGGGGCGCTACTGTCGATTTACTGATGATGTCACGTGATGTAATCCGCAATCCCTAAGCAGGCTATATTTTCGAGTATAGCTTAATTTTTAGGATATTTTGGATAATAGCACAATATGACAAAATCGAGCGAAGTTCCGAGTCGTCTGCTTTTTTTACTGCTGGAGGGATTACGGATACGTGACATCACCAGTAAATCGACAATAGCGCCCCCCAATCAAGCAACGTTGTCACGTCTCACATATGTAACTGCTGGTGGCGATTGTGGATTACACCCATAATTGATAGTTTTCAGAGAAGGTGCAGACTAATATATGTGTGAGTAATATGAGTGTACAGTGGAGGCCGTTTAATTGAATGAAAGAGGTTATGTGATGATTATCTTGTTTTTACTTTTTTTTTTTTTTTTTTTTTTCTTCTTCTTCTAATTATTATTTTTCTTCCTTTTCTAATGCGCTTCGGTGCGTATGTGAGCTGATATTTATACGCGGACGAGGAAACCCTAAGCTAGAACTTGCAAAATGTTTTTCGCGTTTGTCATCTATATAAATATGATCGGGAGTCGATCACTTAGCGCAGAAATTATTATTATTTATTATTTATTTTTTTTTTCATAATGGTACTTTAATGGGTACTTGATTGTTGACAGGGAGGGTGTATTATACGTAAGAAGGGGCTTTATCGAAAATCACGCAAAAGGAATTTTGCCCCTTAATTGTTTTAAAGTATGTACATGTAATATCTCATCTTTGGAAAAACATTGCATTAAGATAAAATTGTAATTATGAGTTTGATATATTGAATTAAAAATTGCCAGCATGCACGCGTATTATAACGAGCCATAAATTAATCATTTCGAGAATTGAAAATGTATCCTCCTCGCTTCTTATTCCTGAAATTTCCCATGAATATACGCACACGTGAGATGCACCAGCGCGTAATATGCTTAGATAATCTACTCGGAACTACGTCTCTACAAGTAGTTAAATTTATGAAAAACAAAAAAACTAAAAAAACCTTTGCCGTTACCAAAGCAAAAAGTTTAATCGCAATTGTAAAAAATTGTAGTTACATGTACGATAATCTTGAATTATTTTTCAATGTTCGTTTAAAAAGTGTGTGCAGTTACACGAAGATGCGTTCGGTCGATGAAAAATTATTCCTCGGTGAAATGAAAATTCTATACACACGCACCTATATGTATTAACCAATGCAGTTTCGATTTTAAAGTAAAAAACAAAAAAAATTATGAAAAAAAAAACAGAAGCCCTTGCGCAACGGTGTACTACGACGAGCTAGAACCACCCACCACCACCGTGGTAGCCGCCGGCCCTCCCGGAGGTGAGATCGTCACCGCACCGAGGCGCGCCAGCGACGCTCGAGTCGGGACGCCATCGTCCTCCCCGACAACTCCGTCGACTCCGAGCACAACGGCAACGCCGTCCCCGTGTCTGGTGGTCGTGGTGGCGAAATCGGCGGCGAGCACCTGTCGCCCCGCTAAGGTCTCCCCCGCCGAGCCGGTGTACAGCAGCACGGACCAGCGTATGGATACCACCACCACCCCGGAGTCGATCCCCACGACTACGGCTACGATGACGGTTGCAACAGAAGCGGTCGTGGCGACTACAGTAACCAGCAGCGCGGGCACCCCAGCCGTGGTTGCCGATCAACGACAGCAGCATCGGCAACAATCTGGAACGGGAAGGCGCCACCACAGCCACCACCATCACCATCATCACCATCACCACTCGTCCGCGAGGAGTTTGTCCTCTTTGTCGGAGCGGGACGATAACCAGCAGCACGGGGTCATTGGCAGCGTCGACGACGCGCTGGAGCACCCGTCGAAAAAGAGGAAGATCCTTGGCCAGTGAGTATTTCCTTTTATTATGATATTATACGTATATACAAATGCTTGGGTTCGTCGGGAATTAAGTGTCGATCGGTACTCTTTTTCTATGCAAAATTACAATACGTGTACGGACTTGTCAAGTTTTTGGAGGTATAATGATAGCCACGTTACTCCCATCGGTTTCTACCTTATATATATATACATGTTGTGACATCTCTGATGATTATACCTTCTTTTAGTACAATTGTTTTGAAGGATATTTGTATACGTTGTGGCGACGCTTATCCAGAATGTTCGAGTAAATCATCCGATAACGATTTTCCAACCGATCCAAAACAGGTACAGGTACATATTAAAACCCTTAAATCGAATTGATATTTTAATCACAACGATCTTCGTAACGGAACAACGTACCCATAAAATTGTCATCGCGATCGTGTCGGAATCACCAACGAGGGAGAGCGAGAGAGAGAGAGCGACATATACTTGCACCCTCCGACAAAAGGGTAAAACTCACAAGAGGAAATCGAGCAACAGCTAGCGGGGAAGTTTCGCGAAGGTCGCGGGAGAGCAGCTCCTCGAGTTTCGCGCTCGTTTGTCGTCGTGTCGGTTGGAAACCCCGCAATTGTCGCAGCTGTTTCGAGTCCCGCGTCGCGAGCGGCAGAGAGAAGCCTTGACGAGGTGTGTAGTCAACCCTTTGATCCGCGCGCTTCGATTGTGTCGCGGAAAAGCCACGCAGTTCCTTGCCCCCCCTCCAAAAGTCTTTCCAAAGTCTTCCCTCCTCCTCGATTTTCTTCTCTTCGTTTGCACCGACTCCGCAGCTTCGCGAGTACGTATACTTAATATGTGTCTTTAAAGGTTTTCTTTTTTTTCGTACAAGCGTCGCACTGGCAATACTTGTGTGTATGTAATTGGTGCTACGGATGAGTTCGAATTTTTTTTCGCGTGCACAACTCGAAGGCTCATACGTACAGATACGGAAAAAAAATATCCTGGAAATCGGTGTGAGAAAAAAGTATAGCAGGCATCACATAGTTTCGTAATTTTCCAACTTCCATCCGACTCGATTATTATTGATGACACCGCGAACAAATTATACATGTGAAACAAAAGTCCGATGAGCTTATTATGAGTGCCGATCGTCATCCTTCCGTAAAATCGGTAACAATGAATTTTGTATGATCGCGAGGGGCGGTATTACACGTGCGCATGTATACACATACACGTATAGCGTAATAAACTTTACGAAACAGGAAGAAATAATCCATTATGCGGTGATTGTGTGTTTATGTACGCCGTGTATGAACTATGCATTTGCGCCCATATGTGTGCATTCATAGAGCGGCAAATCGGAAAAATCCCAAAATTTATAGATCAGCCTGTGCATTTTCAACGTTACCGTGCTTATCCATGCATATGTGTATAAACGTGCGCGAGAATTGGAGGAAAGAAAGAGAGAAAGAGAATCAGCGCGTGGTTGCGCAACCGGGTTTTTCGTTATAATGGCGGCCGATCGCGCGAGCACACGCTCTTGCATATAGGTATATTATGTATACGGCGTATACGTTGGCACACATTCGTACGGATAGGTATATATATACACACCCCGTAACGCAACTTATCGTGCAACAGACTGCTGTACTGTTACTCTCTTTTGCATAATTCATCAAAATCTCGGGGATTGTCGCCGATGCCGTTGATATAGCTCATTTTTCCTTGAATTTTCACGCGGTAACCGTACACCTATACAAAAAAATCGATAGATCATTCAAAGCTTGTGGCGGCTCATTGTCGTCTCGAGAGCCGAACTTTGAGTTCTTGTGTTTGCTCAAAGCTGGAACTTTCGATACGTTTTCATTTTCTCGATTCCTCTACTACCCGATTCATACCGATTTTATCGTATACATTTATTTATTTCAGCGATGGCAACGACATGGAGGACGAAGGAGACGATGCCAAATCCATCAGGTCCAACAACGACTGTAAAAAGTAAGTCAAACTCCATTAAACGACACAAACTTGCACCTTTGCACGCAACATCGTGTATCATGCATCTTCGAAAAGTACAGCAAAAAAAAAAAAGAATGAACCTGGTGACCTTGACCTAAGCCTCGATTCCTTCTCAACGCGTATACGGCTTCCCCGAGGTTCGACAAACTATGTTTTTTTAGCTTACACGGACCTATACCTGTACATATAAATTTTACACGATATATAATAAAATAGGTGTGATAATTTTTATTCGTTTCTTGCTTTCGAGCTTCTATTGCAACTTACCCTCATCTCGTTAGTTCGTTAAAAAAGTCGCACTAACGAAATCCCTTACTTGGTTCAGACTCACGTGTATAGATAGAATTTTAATGACCTTCCGTGTACTATTTTTTGTTATTTCCAATGGGATTAATAATCAATGTAATCCTCATCCCCGATTTATACGAGAAATCGGCAAGTAGGAATACCGATTTTCAATGTATTTTTTTTTTTTTTTTTTTTTTTTTTTTTCAGGCAAAACCACAGCGAGATAGAAAAACGACGAAGGGACAAGATGAACACGTACATAACCGAGCTGTCGGCCATGATACCGATGTGCCACGCCATGTCGCGCAAACTCGACAAGCTCACCGTGCTCCGCATGGCGGTCCAGCATCTCAAGACCATCCTCGGAGCCGTCACTTCTTACACGGAAGGACACTACAAACCCGCCTTTCTCAGCGATCAGGAACTCAAGACTCTCATCCTCCAGGTAGGCGCAAAAACAATTGTCGCAAACACGCACTATTATTCCATTACTTTGCAAATAGTGACGGATATTGCAATTATCCATCGGTTCGGGCATGGGTATTTTAGATAACAGGAGGGAAAAAAAAACGCGCGTGTGGATAATACAGCCAATCCACCGCGTAATTGTCACCCGCGCAGTTAAAAGGAAATTTAGATAAGCTCCGTTATTATACGCGCTTTCAATTAACTTTCCCTCGAACGGAGCGTATATTGCAACGTTAAATAAAGATGTATGCATAAAAAACGACACCGCGCGTGTATTGCCCAAACAACTGCAACACAAAAAACATATAGCTATTCGTTCGAAAGGGAAAAAAAATCTATTGTCTGCCGCTTGGACAGAGGGAGAAATAAAGAGCGAACTCAGGTGCGATACGATCGAACGCGAGACAGAGACCCGTAAACGAGATCACCTTCGTTCCCGAGCGTCCGCCTTTCTTATCACGAGAGTTCACAATGCACCACCGCCTCTCCCTAACTAGCAATGGTCGTTCCCTCCTTGGGATTTCGAAACCCACGAGCAACCGGTCAATTAAACAATGTACCGCATGTGCATACATATAGGTGTATATACATGTGATACACAGTTTTGAAAAACGAGATCGATTTTCCAGGTATACTTACATACACACGTATACGTCCTGTAAGTATACATCGGATCTAGACTGTACCTAATCCTTATCTATATGAAGCAACGCCCGGTAAGTATATATCATTACCTTTGTGAGCTCGTATTGTAAATCCATGCACGTGCGGGGATTATTAATTCGCTTGAAATTCCGTGACTTTTATTGTACTCTCGTGACCCCCGCGAGAGGCCGGAGAAATGCATACGTATATACGCGCAGAAAAAATAAAATATACATATACGTAGGTACAGGAATACGGCTCGTTATAATATAGTCCTGTAACGATGCATTGGTATATATATATATATGTATACAATATTTTACGTACGCGTCAAGGGGGGGGGGAGGCTGATAGATAGTAAATTTTCTAGTGCGGCAGTGCACCGCAGCCACGGGGTATATAATGATAATGGATTGGCTTTTCTTCCTTCTCCGCGGCCGCGATCGTTTATATGTATATATATATATACGTGTATACCCATTGTTATACGTGCTCTCACTTTGCCGGATTGTTGGCCGAGTTAACACGAGCCGATACAAATCGTGGGGAGTTTTTTTTTTTTGTTATACTTTTTTTTTTTTCTTCGTCTATTGCGCCAATCATGGGTAGGTACATTTCGAGGGTTGAATCTACATGGATTTCAATTGCTTGCAACGTCACAAAGGCTGTTGAATGAATTATTTCGTGTGATTCACGTTGACACTTGCATCGATCGAAAACTTGACAATTTTCTCTTACAGTCGCCATCGAGATTGTTTTTAAAAAACACGCAGGTACATTCAAAGTGCCTGCTGTGGAAAATCGTGAAACATACAGTTATTATTTAATAAACAGTCATCGCTTGGTTGAACGATCAAAAGAATCGATCGCCCCATGAAAAGGAAAAATCACAATAGGTGCCGAGTATAACGTACCCGCGTGACAAAAGACACGCATGTATGCCTAATAAATGCGTAGAAAAGATAAGAAAAAAAAAAAAAAAAAAAAAACTGTCAAAAGCAACGGAAAGATAGAAAGAGTCTCGAGAAAAGGAGAGACATAAAATGCTTCCGAACAATGCACGCCGTGTTTCAGCGGCTTCGACGCCTCCTCCCTCTCTTTGATCTACATATAAATACACCCATATGTTGCAATTTTCTTTTTTCTTTTTTATTTTTCACTCGCTCTCCTTTTTAATGGTATTTATAGTGTGGAAACTAGGGAAAGATACTTTTTTTTTTTTTTTTTGTTTTACTGTAACAGGGGTGAACTTAAAGTATGTTAGACATAGAAAATAAATCAAAATCAGATCACAAAATCTCCTAAAATACGCAACGAACAAAAGAGCCCTTGGTGCATTCGTCACACCCCATGTGTATAGCTTCCGAGTTATATATACTACATACATGGTTAAGCACATTGTCTCAATATACTATTAAAAAATAAATGTGTACCCATTCAAACGCGGACGCCAAAAAAGCAACGAAACCATTAGCTGTGTTGCGTTTGGCACCCGTTGAGGCGTGAACATTTGAATACGACATTGTGATTATACCCACGGAAAGAAAAAAAAAAAAAACAAAACACATGCTAATCTAAAGGTAAAAACGTTCTCGCTTTATAATATGTTATATGTATGGTAGTAGTGAGTAGGTACACACGTATTTACGTGTTGTAATCACGGCGTTAGAGACCGAGGATTATGACGTGATATACAGATCGCGCAAACAAAACATGATCGTTATAGGTGCCTATATACTTAAGGTTGCCTCTGTTACATAAAACGGTTCAGCAGCTAAACATATCCCACGATCGTAACGTGTGTGTACCTATGTAAGGCCCGATTTTTTTTTTTTCTTTTTTTTTACGTCCCTCCGCACATTAATTAAATTGGAAGCTGTGCAGATCGGTTCAACTCGCAACGCGCGGCCCAATGCTCGATCTTTAATGAATAAATTAACGAAACGCTTGTCTACGAATTCACTGTACGTCCCTCCCCCGCGTGCAACGAGGAGAGAAAAAAAGGCACTGGTTAAATGGAGATACAGAGTACATAAAGTGACCACACCCCGACCGCTCGGATCTTGCATACCTTTTACAATCGGTCAGCCGATTACAGTGCAATGTACACACGTGCATGTGCTTTTCTCGCTCTGTATACAAATACACAAAAGCTTCAACAACAAACTCCCTCGTGCACGTCTTTTCGATTGCATTTTTTTTTTTTTTTTTTTTTTTTTTTTAACTGCTCGGACCGTTGCGTTTTGCATACATTACAATATGTATACCACGTACGTAAATGTACATATATATACACGCAGTAAAAGTTATGGGCAAGAAGGCGTTTTCGGATTGGTGTAATATACATACACTTCTCGGCAGTTGTTGCGCACGAGATGATTTTTTCACGTTTATTGTCGAATTTTCGCTGATCCACGTGTAGTTTGCGCGTGCATGGAGTAAGTAAGTACCTCGACCTTTTGGCTTAAGATTGCGTGATTTTGCATTGTTTGGCGATCCGGCGATCGGTATATATGGTACCTATAACCCCTTTCTCCGATGCCTACACGGGAGAACTCAAACCAAGCGATTTGCAAGCGGCTCTTATCGCACGTATGTTGTACACTGTACATATGTATACGGACTTTGCGAGTTTCAATTCTCACGGTCTCGCGTTGGTTTTTTTTTCTTTTTACCCCTAATGCGTTCACTGTGGTGATCGGTACCTGAATGGCATTTATTTTCATTTTTTATTGAAATTTGCTACACGTGTACTCCCGAGAAGGGAGAAAAAAAAAAAAAAAAGAAGAAGAAATTAGGACCACTGATGCCGCAGATTGCATAAATATTGAAATTGAAATACGACGGTACGCGAATTACAAAACAAACCGTGCATTTGATTGCAGGCAGCCGAGGGCTTCGTCTTCGTCGTCGGATGCGATAGGGGCAGGATACTCTACGTCTCCAAGTCGGTCTCGCAGGCGCTCAATTACTCTCAGGTAAGCATTTGCAACGCGAGTTGCTCATTTTTCTCTTCTTAAACTTTTTTGTCTCACGATCGAAAACAAAAATCGGTAGTTTACGGTGTGCAGCGTATACACAACGAATTTTCGAAAAGAAAAGACCGCGAGTTTGTAATTGACGAGAAAATGGCACAGGAATGCCGATACACCGGGACACGCTGTACGTTTATGTACGTCAAAAGTTGCCTTTCTTTTTTCACTCGCGTACCGAAACTCACATAATGAGAAAACGATTAAGAAAGAAAACTGCAACGAGTACGCCCAACGGTGCATGTAATGATCACCCGTACTCCACTAACCCCGACACCTTAAAGCGCCTTTGAAAAAGAAAAAAACACAACCATCCGGGGCTGATTTATCGGGATTTATAGATAGATATTTCCTTTCCCATGGAGGCCATAGTAACAACTAAATTTGTGAAAAAAAAAAAAAAAATTACAATATTCGTTTGATCCATCAAATCGACGAATTCATCGCCCGAATCTTTGTATACGTAAATACACACGGAAAAACCTGAGCCCCCCTTCGTGCCGAACAATACCCAATTTTCTCCAATGGCAATAAAATATTACGTAAACGCGGAGCCTATGTATATATAGGTGGGTTTCGCGAACTCTTATCGGGAGGGGGGAGGGGGTGCTTACATAAGCGGAGTTTTAGCTCCAGAGAAAGGACGAGAGCCACACCCGCGAAATTCCCCTCTCGCACTTTCGCCCAGATCGCGTGCACCGTTTTTGTCGCCAAGTACGAACGACCTTGACCCCATGAACCGGATAAGGGTGACAAAGGATGTAATTGTCGTTTTTCCGACTTGACCCTCCGACAGGACGATTTGCTCGGCCAGAGCTGGTTCGACATTCTACACCCGAAGGACGTCGCCAAGGTCAAGGAGCAGCTCTCGTCCTCGGATCTCAGCCCCCGCGAGCGACTCATCGATGCCAAAAGTGAGTATTTGTCTTTTTTGTTTTTGTTTGGTGAATCAATGCCCCTCCACCATGAACTACTTGTGATTGCACAGAAAATGAGACTTTTTTTTTTAATGAAGAAATACTTGGACAAAATGTAGAGAAGAAGACGGAAATTCAGACCGTGACCTTTTCCACTTGAGTAGGTACGTTGGGTAAAGGGAAGACGCAAACCAAAGATGGTTTGTAACTACGAAAAGATGGTATTACGGGATCGATTTAATTTTTCGACCAAACAATGGACCATTAGGATTACAGACCATTTACGCATATTTTTGAATTAAAAAAACTGTCTCACACTTACACATACTTACACTCGACTTTATTAGTCCATCGATATACTTATACACATGTCATATTGCATATACGGGCATCGGGGAGGCGTTATACCTTGAACCTATATTACATTTATCTCTCGAGTCTTAGCTCTCGTGCTTCTTGAGTTTGCACGCTGCTGCGTTATATACGTATACACAAGCGCGAGGAGTTACATCACGGATCCCCCGCTTATTGCGTAATACAACACGATAACCGAGCTCTATATGTATACTGTAGTGTGAACTGTGCTTATACATGGGTAAAGTCTATATAGCTTTGCAGTTGTAGAGAAATCAATTATACGTGGTGACGTTTTCCGCGTCTTGATTGCTATGTAATCATAGGTATATAAAATATACGTATACGTATGTATCAAAGGGTAAAGTTGCGACGCTGAGATCCTGGTATAATAGATCTATGTAAGTCAGTGAAAGTTGAGCCATTGTTTATGACAGGTATATTACGGTGTCGTTTTGAAACATCCTTCTTTGGGTGGTCCACTTATATTAAATTTTTATATGTACACGGTATACGTATATACCTACGTGAGATAAATGTTTTGCTCAACAAAGTTGCTCGCATTTTTTTTTTTTTTTTCGAAGACATGCTGCAGCGGTAATTAAGTACCTACGTCAATGAATGACGGCACGCTCGAAGCAACCTCGTTACAATGGCACAGCTTTGGAAAAAGGAGAAATAATTGTTTATACGTGTGCAGTTACACAATCGGTCGCTTTCACGCGACGAACAACAAAAGCGGTCAAGCACGATATTGTACGGAAAAAATCGGTAACTCGGAAGATCGGCAATAGTATTCCATAAATCCGACAACGTTTTCGTATTGGAATTCATCGGCAATGACTCGCACGTCCGATCCTACATATACTGACGTATCGAGGCGAACTTGACTTTGAGATTAACCCTCGCACCTACACATAATACAACATACCGATCTCTTGTATACTTAATATCCTCCCTGATAAACTATTCGCTTATGAATAACGCGCGCATGATAATTCATCCACCAACGTGTTTTTATGTCCGCAGCGATGCTACCGGTCAAGACGGACGTACCCCAAGGAGTGTCGAGACTATGCCCGGGCGCGAGGCGCTCCTTCTTCTGCCGGATGAAGCGCAAGGTTGACGCGCGCTGCCCCGAGACGCAAGTCAAGGAGGAGGCCGACACCACTACCGGCTCCCACAGACGGAAAAAACAGCAGAATCACGGTGAGAAAAACTTTTTCTTTTTTTTTTTTTTTTTTTTTTTCCAAGTATATATAGAATCCAGAGCGTAATCGGCTCTTCCGGGAGGTGGACAGCGTTGCGCAATCTCAAGAATCCGACCCACCCCACCTCCATACCCAGGGTGCAGGGCGTACATTTTTATGATGTACGTCTTTGACAAAGGGCCGAGACACCTGAGCCCCTCGGTGTAAACATATATATGCATACGGAAATCGATGGGGAATGCTTTAGAGAGAGCGTGTGTCTTGTAAAAGGGCGACGAGGGGTGGGAATCAACTTGGCGATAAAATTTCACTGAGGCGTTAACGGTTGTGCGTCGTGCAGACTGGAAGTACTGCGTGATCCAGTGCACGGGCTACCTAAAGTCGTGGGCGCCGGCCAAGATGAGCCTCGAGGATCAGGAGCCCGAGGCGGACACCGAGGCCTGCAACTTGTCCTGCCTCGTGGCGGTGGGACGGGTCCAGGCGCCGTTGATCGGACCGTCATCGGCACCCCGCAGACTCAGGCTGCGCACCATCGAGTTCGTCTCGCGGCACGCCATCGATGGCAAGTTCCTCTTTGTCGATCAGAGGTAGATTATCTTGTTTTTACTTTTTTTTTTTTTTTTTTTTTTTTCTTTCTTCAACCGAAAGCGTATTTGACAACTATCTCATCGTTGCTAGAGCTACCCTCGTGCTGGGCTTTTTGCCCCAAGAGTTGCTCGGTACTAGCATGTACGAGTATTACCACCACGACGACATACCGCATTTGGCGGAATCGCACAAGACTGCTTTGCAAACGACGGAACCCGTCACCACTCAGGTATAGCATAACATGCTTTGGCCAACACTCGAAAAATAATCAATTGGTATATAAGATAACATTTTTGTTAAACATCAGCGTCGGTGTTTCAGGTGTACAGGTTTCGCGGCAAGGGAGCGAGTTTCGTGAAACTGCGCTCGGAATGGAGGTCGTTCAAGAATCCTTGGACTAAGGACATCGAGTACCTCATAGCTAAAAATTCGGCCGTCTTGTGAGTCCCTGAATACCTATAATATATTACTTGCTCGCAGGATTTGGAAAATAATTTTAAAATAAAATAAAATAAAATAAAATAAAACCATGTACAATGTTGGCTTTTAGTTCGGATACGCGGCAGGTGGAGAGCAGCGCTAATCGATCGGAAGGCGGTAGTGTTCAGGAAAACTACGATTACTTTGCTCAAAGTGAGTTGACCCGTATGTTGAATTGGATGAAAATCATGAGCTAAGCGAGTGAAAAAATAACAACAACAACAACAACAACAAAAAAACAAAAAACAAATGAAGGATCATTAATCGTAGGTAACGGTGGCCTCGAGCGGCTCATCTCTAGTCACGTCGAGGTGAGCAAAATCGGACGTCAAATAGCCGAAGAGGCCTTGGATCTGCAGCGGCGTAGCGACCACGACTCATCCTCGGGCAGTAGCCCCATGTCCGGGCTAGAAGCCGCTTTGCTCAATCACGAGGTAATTGTCAAGATACACGTAGCCATGCGCGTTTGGTACGAACAAATATCAAAGCAGGTGGCTCGAATACGTACGTCTCGAGAAGATGAATGTTACAACTTTTTCAAAATTTGTTGAGCAACCGTCGATTTTAATTAAGCGTTTGTTTGAAAAAAGACACAGATAACGACAACGGCCTCCCCAGAGCAAACGTCGGACATCCGACAGGCCAGCAGCGACAACAGTAGCAGCGATCCCACGTCCCTGTACAGTCAAATGAACAATGTACAACTAAACATCATCGCCAGTGATCAGCGTAAGTGAAAATCTTGTTTTTCGTGTGTATATCTTTTAAACAATGTTGGATATTTTTTTGCGAAAAAAATAATAATAATTTCAATTTGACCAACAGATAGCGAGGATGACATGATAGACATGATAAGCGGCACGACGATCAACGAGTCGTCGAATCCGGGGCCCACTGATGGCAACGACGAAGCGGCGATGGCTGTCATCATGAGTTTATTGGAGGCTGACGCTGGCCTCGGTGGTCCCGTCGACTTTTCAGGCCTGCCCTGGCCTCTGCCCTGACTCGAGCTCGTCCGATGGCCTGACGAGGTGCATACCTACGTTATACAAATCAATTTTTTTTTTTTTTTTATAACTAGATCATATTTTCAGTCGATTATCATTACAAAAAATGTAGCTCTAAGTGTTTTTTATGATTATTATTATTATTATATTTTTTCAAGGCTAAATACGATAAGGAAGAATCTTAGTAGTTTCAATGTGTGCCATTTTTTTTCATATGTGTCGAGCGTCTAGGAATATAAATTATGGAGACTTTTATATTGACTTTGCATAATTTTAAGTGATAGTCGCGTCTTGAATCAATGTAGTGTAACATTGTTTTATTTACGTCGATCATTATTGGAATTGTAAGAAAATACGTTGGAGTCTGCGATGAACAATGGAGATGAAACTGCGATAAATATATTTATTTATAACTATAGTTCAAATGTTGTTTCTGTTTGTGGTAAAAGACAATAAAAGTATGTTTGTCTGTCGTCTCTGTGAGTGCCAAACTTATTTGAAAACAGATCAGTCATGTTATTTAATTTGATATATTTGGTCAACAGCAACTGAAATTTTGCATAAAAGCTAACATTTCATAAGTATATAAGTATCAATATTAAAAAAAAAAAAACTCTTTTATGCGTTGAAAATAATTTTAAAACTCAGAGAACAAAAAAAGTGTGATGTAATTGTTATGTGTAACCATATTTTGTAATTATTGTATTTATTTGAAATCAAAAATAGCTTTTTTATTGTGATAAACATAAGAAATATCTGGTCGCATCTATAGGGTGTAATCCGCAATCGCCACCAGCAGTTATGTGAGACGTGACAACGTTGCTTGATTGGGGGGGCGCTACTGTCGATTTACTGATGATGTCACGTGATGTAATCCGCAATCCCTAAGCAGGCTATATTTTCGAGTATAGCTTAATTTTTAGGATATTTTGGATAATAGCACAATATGACAAAATCGAGCGAAGTTCCGAGTCGTCTGCTTTTTTTACTGCTGGAGGGATTACGGATACGTGACATCACCAGTAAATCGACAATAGCGCCCCCCAATCAAGCAACGTTGTCACGTCTCACATATGTAACTGCTGGTGGCGATTGTGGATTACACCCATAATTGATAGTTTTCAGAGAAGGTGCAGACTAATATATGTGTGAGTAATATGAGTGTACAGTGGAGGCCGTTTAATTGAATGAAAGAGGTTATGTGATCGAATCAGCCAATGGGAATTAAGTGTTTAAATTTCCCGCTCAACGAATTAAACGGCCTCTGTATCNTTGATAGTTTTCAGAGAAGGTGCAGACTAATATATGTGTGAGTAATATGAGTGTACAGTGGAGGCCGTTTAATTGAATGAAAGAGGTTATGTGATCGAATCAGCCAATGGGAATTAAGTGTTTAAATTTCCCGCTCAACGAATTAAACGGCCTCTGTATCTAAACGTAACTGCAGAATCACGGTGAGAAAAACTTTTTCTTTTTTTTTTTTTTTTTTTTTTTTTCTCGCCCTCTTTTTTTATTTGTTTTTTAATGGGGAAAAATAGGAAAAAATATTTTTTTTTTTTTTTTTTTGTTTTACTGTAACAGGGGTGAACTTAAAGTATGTTAGACATAGAAAATAAATCAAAATCAGATCACAAAATCTCCTAAAATACGNACTTTGAATTCTTCTTTAAATAAAAAAAAATGTGTGATTTACAATTTTAATTGATTGAAATACTTCGAAACGTATGATATGTATGAAGCCAATTAAAATTACGTATGTGTAAATATTTTCATTAATTTAAAAATGTAAATAGATACATGCACACAATTAAGAAATATATGTAATGAATATTTTCGACTTAAGATTATAAAGTCATTGCGTAATTGAAATGTCCAAGATGCCATAAATATGATGAAACGATTTTGCCATTCATATTATAATGTCAAAACATTGATGTTTTTGGTGAAATGAGTTATTATAATATCAGGAAAAATTCATGTACCTATACTATGTGTATACTACGTATTTTTTTATCAAATGACAATTTATATTAAAAGTCAAGTTCCTTCTCTGAATTTTCAGTGGTGTAGTTATAAGTACTGAATTGGAAAGAAATATATATAAAATTCGAACCTTACCGTTGAAAATGGTATTTTTCATTTTTAAACATATCATTTTTCACTTTCGCAGTGTCAAAACGATACTTTCATGGGTGAAATCTGATTATACTAAATTAGTACAAATTTTTCCCTCGATTTTTCCAAGTTGTACTCGAATAAACTAGCTAGCAACTTTTGGGCCCGACTCTATTGCAACCGAAAAAAAAATTTTTCATCAATTTTTTAAAACCAGATTGTAATGATATAAAAACAAGTCATATTTTACCAAAAGGCCGCAACCCTCATTACAATACATACATTAATTTGAATATACACTTCGTAGTACTAGACCAACAGCCGAGGCTCGAGGGTAGTCAAAAACCAGCCGCCAATCCTACTAGAATTGAGAAACTTCATATTTAAGTAGTGAAAATCCAAAATATTTTCATCATATTTTATTTTGGTAAAGAGTGACATGATAATTAAAGTACTGCCATGTAATTAATATTAGAAACCAGCTAAAACAAGAATCAATCTATGGAAAATAAAAGGATCATTTCTGATATGTCATTTGCGGCAAGATTAATATTTATCTTCTATTCAAAATTTGACCTTCAAAGAATTAGATCTATGGCCGATTTTCAAGTAGAAAATACATTTTAATCTCGTCTTAAATAATATCTTAAAATAATAATTTTTGTTTTCTACCTTTCCATCAGAACTGCGGCTGGTTTATAAAATTAACTACATAGCACTACTTTAATTACTACATAACTCATCACCAGAATGGAATATGACAAAAGAATAAAGAATCTTTATGAATCAATAAATCGTCAAGTTTCTCATTTTTATATACCCTCGGCCCTAAGCTATAAGCTCTTGGCTATAAAATTTTTATAAGCCATGTAAGATAAGTAGAATATTTGTGGTTTAGGAGGTCAGTTTAGGGTTAAAAATAAATTGTTAACTTGCCGCAAACAGAACAAAAAATGTCTACTTGTTATTGTTCATTTTCAAGATTAGTTGCGGCTGGTTTATAATTGACTTTACAGAGCTCAACTGTAAGTTGTAATAATTATTTTGATCAGCGCCATCTAGCGGTTTTCATTTTTTCGCCAAAAGTGGCCTCTAAAATTCTGAAACCGAGCATAAGGGCTTAGAGCCATTTAGTCAATTATAAACNGCCCTAAACTTTTGAACTAGAGCTTTAGCGCTTAGAGCCACTTAACGTATCATAAACCAGCCGCAACTTGTTTGGTAGCTATAAAATAAAAAAATAACGATACATGTGTTTTTGGCGGCAAGTTAACAATCTATCTTTTACTCGAAAATTTATCTTCAAAAGTATAAATACATAGAAGATCAATTTTTGGTAAAAAATAGATTGTTAACTTGCCGCCAAAAACACATGTATCGTTATTTTTTCATTTTATAGCTACCAAACAAGTTGCGGCTGGTTTATAATTGACTAAATGGCTCTAAGCCCTTATGCTCGGTTTCAGAATTTTAGAGGACACTTTTGGCGAAAAAATGAAAACCGCTAGATGGCGCTGATCAAAATAATTATTACAACTTACAGTTGAGCTCTGTAAAGTCAATTATAAACCAGCCGCAACTAATTTTATAGATGAACAATAAAAAGTAAACATTTTCTGTGCTATTTGAGGCAAGCTTACAATCTATCTTATACCCGAAAGTTTACCTCTGAAAGTATTAATATTCTACTTATCTCATATGGCTTGTAAAATCAACCACATTTACAAAATTACAATATTTTATTAAGACCTTGCACCATTAACTCATGGAAGCACAGCCCTATAACTTTAGAGTTCCAATAAACAGTTAATTTATGTTATATGTACAAAGCAAAATTTGTGTTACAGAAATCTATGACAAAATCAGAAATCAAATATATACGTAAATTAATCAATCTAAAATAGATGACTGAGGTAAAAAGGCTTAAAAAAGCACAGTCACACGAAGAGTCTTCTAAGAATGGAGCATTGGATCTCACTGAATAAAAAATACATTTATTACAGAGAAGTAAATTTGTGTTATAAATAAACAAAGAACCTAACCTTCTCTGATTAAGTGAGATAGTGAGATCTATACTGATGACTGTATCACTGTACTGATCTACATGTAGATTCTACAATATACATATGCACACATACAACTGATACAACATACATGTGTGCTGGATGGTGGGGTAAGAGAGAGAGAGAGAGAGAGGAGAGAAACATCAACGACGACGCCAGCTAACGTAACATAACCTGTCGTTTGGAAAATTCTCTGTTAAAAGTACCAAAAATAAAAAAATGTCGGCGTGGAGGCAAGCAGGTTTAAAGTGAGTTATGAATATTTTTGTATTCTACACTTAAAAAAATACAACAATCGAAGGCTCAATTGATTGTTTGCATAGTTATTGATATTGTCTAGCACTCAGCTGTCACTTATGTAACATTACAAATTAGAGTTTTTTTTTGTATAACTGTTACTTTTAAACGCACAAAAAATTAATTTAAAATTATTTTAGTTACATCAATTACTCACAAATTGCTGCCAGGCTCGTTAGGCAAGCTTTAAAATCAGATTTGAGAGTCGAGGCTGCCAAACGGGATGAAGCAAATGTTAGGGTTACTCAGTGGAAAGATGGAAAGCCCATCAGTAAGTATAATGAAGATTTTTCTCTAAAGTGTATAATCCAATATCTTTTAAAAATTGCTCCATACAACCAAATGGTTTAAATCACTTATAATGCCGTTTACTTACATGAAAACATTGAATCATTAATTTTTATTTTATTGCAGTTGATAAGCAATGAACTAGGATGTATGTCAGGTTTAGTAAGCTTTTGAGACTGAAAGTACAATTTTTCACATCTAATCCTAATTTTGTTAGAGTGAAATCCCTTTATTAATGAAAATAACACTAACTCACCAACAATTTCTGAAACTTTTATTGTATGTGTCCGAATTTTGTCAGTTTGCAGTGTGATAAGCCCATTTGTTTTAAGATTTCCCTAAAATAAAGTTCGATTTCACTAATTTTTTAACTTATGTCATGGCAAAGTTTATTGATAAACAACACTTACTTAACATCTTTATGAAAGATTGAATTACAATTAAATGCAATAAACTTTTACAATGAATTTTATTAACCTAATTTTATACAAGAATGGTCGTGTTATAACTAAACTGTACATGGTATTTACAAGTTGATAAATTTCTTTAATACAAATTTATCATAAATCATTAACAGCATCTCTAATAAAATTGATGTTATCTTTTTTTTAAGTACTGAATTGGAAAGAAATATATATAAAATTCGAACCTTACCGTTGAAAATGGTATTTTTCATTTTTAAACATATCATTTTTCACTTTCGCAGTGTCAAAACGATACTTTCATGGGTGAAATCTGATTATACTAAATTAGTACAAATTTTTCCCTCGATTTTTCCAAGTTGTACTCGAATAAACTAGCTAGCAACTTTTGGGCCCGACTCTATTGCAACCGAAAAAAAAATTTTTCATCAATTTTTTAAAACCAGATTGTAATGATATAAAAACAAGTCATATTTTACCAAAAGGCCGCAACCCTCATTACAATACATACATTAATTTGAATATACACTTCGTAGTACTAGACCAACAGCCGAGGCTCGAGGGTAGTCAAAAACCAGCCGCCAATCCTACTAGAATTGAGAAACTTCATATTTAAGTAGTGAAAATCCAAAATATTTTCATCATATTTTATTTTGGTAAAGAGTGACATGATAATTAAAGTACTGCCATGTAATTAATATTAGAAACCAGCTAAAACAAGAATCAATCTATGGAAAATAAAAGGATCATTTCTGATATGTCATTTGCGGCAAGATTAATATTTATCTTCTATTCAAAATTTGACCTTCAAAGAATTAGATCTATGGCCGATTTTCAAGTAGAAAATACATTTTAATCTCGTCTTAAATAATATCTTAAAATAATAATTTTTGTTTTCTACCTTTCCATCAGAACTGCGGCTGGTTTATAAAATTAACTACATAGCACTACTTTAATTACTACATAACTCATCACCAGAATGGAATATGACAAAAGAATAAAGAATCTTTATGAATCAATAAATCGTCAAGTTTCTCATTTTTATATACCCTCGGCCCTAAGCTATAAGCTCTTGGCTATAAAATTTTTATAAGCCATGTAAGATAAGTAGAATATTTGTGGTTTAGGAGGTCAGTTTAGGGTTAAAAATAAATTGTTAACTTGCCGCAAACAGAACAAAAAATGTCTACTTGTTATTGTTCATTTTCAAGATTAGTTGCGGCTGGTTTATAATTGACTTTACAGAGCTCAACTGTAAGTTGTAATAATTATTTTGATCAGCGCCATCTAGCGGTTTTCATTTTTTCGCCAAAAGTGGCCTCTAAAATTCTGAAACCGAGCATAAGGGCTTAGAGCCATTTAGTCAATTATAAACCAGCCGCATTTCATTGTAAAGATATAAACTAAAAAAATAACGATACACGTGTTTTTGGCGGCAAATTAACAATCTATTTACTATCAAAAAATCGACTTCCTATGTATTTATACTTTTGAAGATAAATTTTCGAACATAAGATAGGTTGTTAACTCGCCGCCAAAAACACATGTATCGTTATTTTTACGTTTTATAGCTACACAATAAGTTGCGGCTGGTTTATAATTGACTAAATGGCTCTAGGCGCTAAAGCTCGGTTTCAAAAGTTTAGGGCCACTTTTTAGTTCAAAAATCCGCAACGCTAGATGGCGCTGGTCCAAATAACTATTACTATACATACTTACCGTAGAGACTTTTTGTTAACTATAAACTAGCCGCAACTGATCTTGTAGATAGATAATAATAAGTTGACGTATTTTGTGCTATTTGCGGCAAGTTAACAATGTATTATTAACACAAAACGTGACCTCTCGAAGTATACATGTCGTATCCTATTTATTTTACATGGCCTATAAAATCGACCACATGGCTCTACTTGCGGTAGTGATTACTATAATTACTACACATAACTTTACGTGTATCTTACATGCACCGTGCTTTCATAAGGCCTATTCTGCAAAATTCTGCAAATTCTTGCACAGCCTTTTAACTTTCCAGTTCCAATAAACATGTTTATAATCTATCTTTTACCCAAAAGTCGACTCCCTACACGACAGTCAACAGCGATGAAATCTTCACTTTTGTCTCGACTTTCACGTGGGGTCATCCCTTTTTCTATTTCGTATTCCTATTTCCTATTCTCGCACCCGTAGTCATCACTCCATATTCAAAAATTCAAATGGATTGCAGAAAGTGTTGGCGTTGCGTACTTGCGTCTTGCGTCTCCGTCTGAGTGACCACTCTGACCCGCTGACCGTCTGAACGAGTGAACGCAGCCTTCTGGAGGAAAAACCCTAGGTTAAAAATATAGCAACTAAAAATCTAGGGTTTTATTCAAGACGATTCCCGACGTTGCATGTATGTACATGCACACATACAGTTGAATAAGAAGTTTTCCACAAATCCACAGTGCTTTTGGTGTGCTTTCTGCCAGAAATGAGTTTCTACCCATCTCTCCTTTCTGCTTCGTAACTTTTTGCATGCAATCTGCAGATTAAAACTGAGGACTCTGAGGAGTCGGTCGGCTGATGGATGGATAAAAAGTTACATGGTAGTATGACATAGTTTTGAAACAAATTATTGTTTTTCACATAAACGTTCCGTCCATCGAGGCAAAATGAAGTTCCACGATACATTAGATATTGAATCTCTGGTCAACAAGGTAAGCTACGTGGATAACCATAATTTTTTCATGACTCGTCAGAAAGCTCAGCTTTTTTCACCATTAAGTTTTTTAACCTCATAAAAGTCAAAAAACGTGCTGTATTATAATAGATGTTTTTTGACAGTAAAAATTAGTTTCGTTTAAAAATACATTTTGCCTTGAAGTATTATTGTCATTTGAAATTGGTTTGCATTTCTTTGTAGAGTAAATCCGATCTTACTCCAGAAGAAAAATGGAGGTAAGGCTTTTCTTGCATTAGAGAATACGTTATTTTACGGTTTTTCTATTATCTTGAACGTTTAAATCTATTGTCTTAGAGTGGAGCATCACAAGATGCACGAGCTGCATCGTGGACACGAATCTATGCACGCTGAGATGGTTTTCATTCTTATAATTACAGTTTTTGTTAGCGAAGTAATTCTTATCACATGGAAAAAAAGACATTACAAATCTTATCAGGTAATTTGTAGATGTAAATATTTTATTAGTACTAAATAATAAAGATACAATAGAGCTTTATTGCTTTTTGTTGTTCTCACTTTAAAATGATTTGTTTTTTTTAAGTTTACAAATATTATTTCAAAATTTCAGTTAGTAACACTGATAGGTATGTGGATAATTCCTTTAGTCTTAGCTCTGAGAAATTACTATTGGAGGTTTATATTCTTCTGGCTGGTGTTTTCATGTATCACTGGTTTGATTGTAAGAAAGACTGTTGAAAAACCTATGCAAGGCACAACACCTAGGTTAGTTGTATTATTTTTATTATAAGCCAAATAAGTTTTAGTTTGAATTCGAATAAAATGCGTGATTACTTTATATAATTTATAAAATGTATTTTCTTTTTTCACAGACTAGTGTATAAATGGTTTTATTTGATTTATAAAGCGAGTTATTTTTTGGGTCTTGTTAGTTACTTTATACTGTTAGCAACGTTTTTTGGCTTGAATCTTGTTTTTGATGCCAAACCTCAAGCTTGGATGGACTGTGGACTATTGTTTTTATTTTATGGTCTGTACTTTGGTGTGTTGGGAAGAGACGTTGCTGAATTATGTGCTGACAAACTAGCTTCTCATATAGGGGTAAGTTTTAGTTTTCTAAGATAAAATATAAAATGATCAGTTTTTAAT